TGCTACAAATGCCTTCAGGGCAGGTTTGGCTGGCTTGAGTTGTGGGGATTGAACCACAGCAACCTGAGCCTGGCTGTTTTGTTGAAGCAGCCACTTAAAGAACTGAGCTAAGGGGCAGGCCCCCTCATATGTCATTTTGGAAGTCCTTCATTATAAAGATAATCTTCTGTCTGATGACAAACAGCAGCCACAGTCATCATTCTGGACCTCCACGCTGGATACACTCCCTTTTCTCTTGAGATAGCAGTTTCCTTCTGTACTTCTGAGGTAGTGTTTTTATTATTTCTGCAGTGTCTGGTGGACCTGGATGCACCAGCAAGTCCGGTGATTTACTCCCTTTAGAATGCTGTGACATTACAGAGGAGTGAGGTGGGAGCCCTGCAGATCTCAAAGCTTCTGATACGCTGGGTTTAGGATTGTCTCTTCTGTCAGGGAACCTTATTAATGGTGTATGTGGCTTGACTGGACGACCCGACTGGCAGACACCATCTTGCTGCCCATCGTGACCCCGGGAAGGGGCAACTTCCGAGGCCTATTCACCTATTCTTAAGGAGTTTGTTTTACTGGTCTTTGTTTTAAAGAGAATGCAAAATAGTAATTTAAAAAATTAGAAATGATATGAATTTCACTAAAATAATATGAATTTGACAGTATTTGTTGTATTGTATAATGTTATCTTCAACTTAGTTGTTCAGATTACTAGATATATGCATGTAAAACTGGAAGAAGAAAGAAAGTGGTTAAAAAGTAAGAGAAAAAGAGGGAACAAATTTAAAAAGAAGACAAAGAAAGAATTAAGCATAACCGCTTCTTTCCATAGACCAGCAGAAGTCCAAGTTATCCAAGCCAATCTGCATCATACATAGATATATCTCTTTCCCCCACTTCCTCTCCTGTCCATCCCCACATCTTGGTAATTCCTTCCTCTGGACAGACTCATTTCCTTTTCACAGAATCTGTTGTACCCTTCAGATTTTATTTGCTCTTTCAGATCCTTACATTAAGGAAATGATACTAGTTTTGTACATGCGGGTTTGATGTATTTCACTTATGAGTATGGTCTCTAGTTGCATCCATTCAATGATAAAAGCCTCAAATTTATCCTTTTTTATAGCTGAATAATACTCCATTGTGTAAAAATACCACATCTTCTTTTTCCATTCCTCAGTGATGGGCATTTGGGTTGCTTCCAAGATTTAGCTATAACAAATTGTGCTGCTGTAGACATGGGTGCACATATATCACTTTGGTTTGTTTTCAGGTCTTCTGGGAAAATACCCAGGAGAGGAGTAGTTGAATGGGACCTCTAATCCTAGCCTTTTGAGGAATCCTCACACTGATTTCCATAGTAGCTATACCAGTCTGCACTCGCACCAGCAGCACAGAAGGGTTTCTTTTTCTCCACAGTTCCTCTAGCATTTGTTATTGATTGACTTATTGATGATAGCTGTAGCCATACATGTTATCCTGATGGAGCAAGGAACAAAGAACAGAGTCTAAGGAAATGTGTCCCCATGTAATTCCTATGTGCTGGGATACAGGGAACAAGAAGTTCCTGGAGGCTGTCTCTTCTTTGTTCCTTTACCTGGGACATTACCAACTGGTGTTGTATAAATTTAGAGTTTGGTAAACGCCGGAAGGCATTGTAAATAGCAGTTTGTTTACACTTAATTTGTTATGCACATTCCTTAGCCTGTTTTTAGCCCTCAATGAATATGAGAAGTTTTGGTGGCTCCAGATTGAGTTAGAGCAGTACTAAGTTCCTAAGTCCTCTACAGCAGTATTAATCCAATCTTCTCATTTCTTTGGGTTTCAACTGATTTAATACAAGATAGCCATTCTTTCTGGATCTCTGTTGTTCTACTTTGCATTACTCAAATGACCAATGTTCAACATTTTTTCATCTATTTATTTGCCATTTGTGTTTATCTGAGAAGTATATATTCATCTCAGATGCCCATTTTGGTATTGGGATTTTGAATTTTGGGGACCTGATATTTTTAGAAATTCTTTGTACATGGGTAGAAGATCTTTGTCAGAAGGCAGTTGGCTATAATTTTTTTCCCTGTTTGTGGGTTTTACTTTTTTACTCTGTTGGTGATTTCTTTTGAGGTGCAGAAACTTTTCAAAAGATGAGATCCCAGTTGTTGATTCTTTGAAGCATTTCCTGTGCAGTTTGGTTTTTGTTCATGACTCTCTACCTACCCCTATGTCTTTAAGATTTCTACCTACATTTTCCTCCAGGAGAGTTAGTGTTTCTGTTTTAATGTTTAAATCTGTAATCCATTTTGATTGTAGGTTAGTGCATGGTGATAGACATGGGTCTATTTTAAAACGTTCAGCATGTGGAAAGCCAGTTTTTCCAACACCATTTATTAAAGATTATATGTTTCTTCCAGTGAATATGTTTCACTCCTTTGTCAAAGATAAGGTTGTAGAGTGTGTTTGTAGTTGTGTCTGAATCTTCTGATCTGTTTCATTGATTCTGTGGTCTATCTTTATGCCAGTACCATGCTGATTTTATCACAGGAGCTTTAAAGTATATTTTCAGGTGAGAGATTGTGATGTCTCCTGCCTTTTCTTTGTTCAGGATTACTTTTAATATTTTGGGTCTCTTTTGGTTCCAGGTGAATTTTAGGAATGTTTTCTCTAGATCTGTGATATATACTAATGGTATTTTAATGGGCATTACATTAAATCTGGGTAACAATTTTGGTAGTATGGCCATTTTCATAATGTTGATTCTTCCTATACAGGAGCAAGGAATATCTTTCCATTTTCTGAAATCCTTTTTGATCTCTTTTCTCAAAGTACTACAACTTTCTTTTGCGGGGAGTGGCTGAGCCCACCCTGAGGGTGGGGCTGGCATGGCATGTGAAGCTGGGGATCAAACCGTGGTCCCCTGCACCTGCCTAAGCAGGCTCTTTAGACCATTGAGCTATCACATCAACCCATAAAGTACTCTAACTTTCACTGTATGAGTCTTTTTTTTTAATTTAGTGCAGGGGGCATCTACAGGGTCTCACTACACAGATCGAACTTGTAGCGATTCTCTTGTTTTCAACTTCCCAAGTGCTGGGATTCAAACACATGCCACCACACCCAGTATCAATTGAACTCTCAGTGCGGCAAGCCAGGAATCAGACCTCCAACCCCTGTGTCTGCCTAAGCAGGCGCTTTAATCCCCTGAGCTATCTGGCTGGCCCTACTGTATAAATCCTTACTTCCTTTGTGAGATTGATTCCTAAGTATTTCATTATTTTGGGTATTATTGTTAAAGGCATGATTTCCCTAATTTCTCTCGGTGCATTTGTTATTTGTGTACCAATACTATTGATTTTTGAGTGCTGACTTTGTATCATGTTACATTACTGAATTTGGTTATTAAATCTACAAGTCTCTTGGTGGAGTTTTTGAGTTCTTTTATGTAGAGTGTCATGTCACCTACAAATAATGATAATTTCACTTCCTTTCCAGTCATTATTCCTTTTCTCTCTCTCATCTAATTGCTCTGGTTAATGTTTCCAGAACTATATTGAATAGGAGTGGTGATAGTGGACATCCTTGTCTTGTTCCTGATCCTAAAGTGAAGGCTTTCATATTTTGTCAGTATGATGTTGCCTGTTGGTTTCTCATAGATGGCTTTTATCAGGTTGAGGTAAAGACTATTCAGATTTTCTCTAGGGTTTTTATCATGGATGAGTGTTAGGCTTTCTCAAAAGCTTTTTTTGTATCTACTCAGATGATCATTAGATTTTTGTCTTTGCTTTTGTTAATGTGGTATATTACATTTATGGGTGTGTGAATATTGAACCATCTCTGCATTCCTGGGATGAAGCCACTTGGTCATAATGTATAATCTTCTTTTTTTTTTTTTAATTTTATTTATTTGTGTGTGTGTGTGTGTGTGTGTGGCCAGTTCAGCCCACCAGGGGGTGGGGCTGGCTGGCATGTGGTGCTGGGGATTGAACCGGGGTCCCTGTGCTTTGCTAAGCTTGTTCTAAGTAGGTGCTTTAGATCACTGAGCCATCTTACCAGCCCTGTATAATCTTCTTGATGCTTTGCTGCATTCTGTTTTCTAATATTTTATTGAGGATTTTTGCATTTGTGTTCATTAAAGAGATTGACCTATAGTTCTCTTTTTCAGTTGGGTGTTTCTCTAGTTTTGGTATCAGAATAATGCTTGTCTCCAGGAATGAGTTTGGGAGAATTGCTTCCCTTTCAGTTTCATTGAAGAGTTTGAGAAAAGTTGGTGTTAAATCTTCTCTAAATTTCTTGTAGAATCCAGCTGTGAATCCATCAGGACCTGGGATTTTCTTTGTTGGTAGATTTTTTATTATATTTTCCATTTCATTTCCTGTTATTGGGTTATTCTGAGTTTTTATATCTTCTTGACTCAGCTTTGGCAGTTCATATGTATCTAGGAAACTGTCCATTTTCCATCCTGTGGGAGTAAAGATTTGTAAGTAGGTATTTGTGATCTTCTGAATTTGTATAGGATTCATAGTGAGTTTGCCATTCCTGATTCAAATTATTGCATGAATTTGCATTTTTTCTTGCCTTTTTTTGATAAGGTTGGCTAGCAATTCATCAATTTTATTTATTTTTTCAAAGAATCAGCTTTCGGGGGCTGGTGAGATGGCTCAGTGGTCTAAAGCACCTACTTAGAACAAGCTTAGCAAAGCACCGGGACCGTGGTGCAATCCCCGAGCACCACATGCCAGCCAGCCCCGCCCCCTGGTGGGCTGAGCTGGCCACACACACACACACACACACACACAAATAAATAAATAAACAAATAATTTTTTTTAAAAATCAACTTTTTGATTCATTAATTCCTTATATTATTTTCTTTGTCTCCACGGTATTAATTTCTGCTCCAGTCCTCCTAATTTTCCATCTTCTTTGGTTTTGGGCTGACTTGCTCTTCTTTTCCTGGGAGCTTAAGGTGCAGCATGAGATTGCTTATTTGGGCCTGTTCTGTTTTCCTAATGTGCAAGTTTACCACTCTAAATTTCCATATTAAGACAGCCTTCTTGCATCCCACAGGTTCTGGTAAGGTGTATCTGCATTTTTGTTCACTTGTAAATATTGTTTAATTTCTTCTTTAATTTCATCTGTAACCCACACTGGTTGTTCAGGAGGTTGTTATTATTTTCCATGTGTTTATGATATTTATGTCAGATATTTTGTCAATAATTTCCAGTTTTACTGCACTAAGGTCAGATAGTGCCTTACTGTTGCAAGTGAAATGAAATTTTTTACTGAGGATAGTGATAGCTTCATTTTTATCCAGACATTATATGAGTAGTAAGAAAGCCTTAACTCAAGTACTATTTGTTATCATTACGTTGTTTGAAAGAATGTTTAAGCTTTTATCTGAAGTCTCTGAGACTAGTTTTTCAGTGTTCCTAATAAAAGCAACTTGACTGCTTTAAGTTATTTTAAATGATTGTACTATTTGAAAAATGATTTAAATTGAACATGGCTGGGTCTTCCTA